CTTGTATTGAGTGAGAGGGGCTATCCTCAGAAGACCTCGGGATGGTCCTCAGCCCACATACCCACCTCTGCCATGCCCAGGAATCCCACCCCGTGTGAATGACACTCCCAGTTCTCCACATGACCCTTCCCTACAGAAGGGGTCCATGGCCCACCTAGGAGACTCGGCAGCTGTTGTGTGGGGGGTGAGCGCTATCAGAGTTAATTTATCAATAAAATATTTTCAGAGGAGAAAGATCTGACCTTCTTGGACAAGCTTAGATGAGAAAACAGCATTAGTGGTTCTGCCAGAACTGGAAGAGAAGCAGCTTTGGGGTGGGGTGGGTCCATCTCAGACCCCAGGGACCTTTACTCCCAACTGCAAGGAGTTTTGTCCTGTGGCTGGAATGAGTGAGGGTCCTGGGAGCAGCCCCTTGAAGACCATTTGACTCTCCAGGAAGTGGCTCGCCCACCCCAGCTTCGCCCCCAGAGATGGAACATGGCCCTTAGAGGTGAGGCAGAAACTAGTCTTTGGTGGGACTGTCTGCATTCCTAGGAGCTTGGTCAGGTCCTGGTGTTCAGGGGGCTCGGGACTAATTCTTGGTAAAATTCTTTGTGGAAATGTTGATACACATATCAAAGGCTTGGTCACCTTGAGCTGGGAGCCCAGCCATCTTCCTGTCACATTCTCAGAGGAATTCACACAGGCTCCACCTACCAACAGGCCCCTTCCAGGTTGGACTCCCAACCCTCTTCCCCTGTAGAGCACTTACCTCTGGAGGTGCAGATCCTTCCTGGAGAAAGCCTGTCTTCCCCAAACCCCCACCGTACCCTACCCACCAAAGCAGAACCCACAGTGCAGAGACATGGGGATACATCCAAACCACCAGCACCCTGTAATCCGTCCCTTGCCCAGAGCACTTGGCTGAGCTCTGTGGCGTGCATTTATCATTTGACTAAGATGCAGAAAGTTCAGTGGCACTAAAACAGAGTCATAAATTAGGTTTGAAAACGAAAACCTGGCAGTGTTTTGGCAGATGTCCTGCACATTACATGGGCCCACATCCTAGTCTTGAAGTGCAAAAACAGAACTAGGAGTGGTTTTTCCTTCCAACTCTGTCCATCAGCTGGTGGGGATTTGCGGAGGGAAAGGAGGGAGCCAAGAAGGAAGCAGATCAGGTCCAGTGCCCTAGGGGGAGAATTAGAGCACTGCTCTCCTTGCCCATGTCCTGGGACCTCAGAAGCCAGAAGGAGTCCGTGATGTTTGTGGGAGGAGTGAGGGGTCATATTAGGGAAGAAAATGAGAGGAGGGTGGGGCAGGCATGGTTGAGGGATGGGGCTGGATTGGTTCTGACTGTGTCTCCTCCGTCACCTGGCTCAGCTGGGCTCAGAAATTCTTGCTGCATTGTCACTCTGGGCTGAGGCCCAGAGAACTGTCAGCCTCCTAATTGCAGGCATTTCTCACTGGTGTCCTGGTGGCTGTAGGGCCCCAGCATCAGAGCTGCTTTGTGACATGGAAGGAGCGCTTGCTGTTTGCCTCTGCCCACATTCAACTTCTCTCTGCCATCTCTTTCTCACCCTAATCCTCTTGCCATGCCAGCTGCTCATTCACTCTTCCCATCAAGGGTTCTTCAGTTCATGCACACATCTCCCAACAAAGCAGTCCACGCCTCATATACCCCAGTCAGCAGCCTCTCTCTCTCCTTCTCCCTTTCTTTTTCTCCCCCTTCCCTCCCCCCCCCCCCCGCCCGCACCCCCCCCTCCTCACACACACACAGCTTTTCTGTCTGGAAGCTCTGAATGCGGCTGATGAGATGAGGGTGGGGTGGGGCAAGGGACTACAGCTCCAAAACTTTTTCCAAAGACTTACCTTCGACATTACAAAGAGGCTGAGATTTTGGCGAGACAACCCTTCCCTTTTGCCTCATAACTCAGCTCGTACCCAAAGCAGGTTTTCCAGAGGAGCCCAGGTAATCCTAATGCATGCACCCTTCTGTTCCAATTCTTAGTACTATAGGAGACTGAGACAAACTTACCTTCATTCATTCAATTTCTTTAAAACATGTTATTGAATGCTTACAATGGGCTAGGTGCTGGGGCCAGAGAAGTGAACAAGGTGGTGCTAGCCCTGAACTTAAAAAGTTGAAGGTCTTTTGGTGAAGGCAGACATTAAAAAGTTACTCTTAGACTCTGGCTTGGCTCAGTGGATAGAGTGTCAGCCTGTGGTTTGAAGGGTTCCAGGTTTGATTCCGGTCAAGGGCACATGGCTGGGTTGCAGGCTTGATCCCCAGTGTGGGATGTGCAGGAGGCAGCCTATCAATGATTCTCTCTCATCATTGATGTTTCCATCTCTCTCTCCCTCTCTCTTCTCCTATGAAATCAATAAAAACAAACAAACACCAATGACCATTGGGTGTCTGTTAACATTTTTTTTTTTAAAAGTTACTCTTGCCAGTTTTCTCAGTGGTTAGAGTGTTGGCCCATGGAATGAAGGGTTGTGGGTTCCATTCCTGGTCAAAGGCACGTTGCAGGTTCGATCCTTGTCCAGTTACGCGCACGTGTGAGGCAAGCAATCAATGTGTCTCTTTCATATTGATCTCTCTTTCTCTCTCTCCCTCCCGTCTCCCTCTCTCCCACTCTCTAAAAAAATCAATGGAAAAAATATCCTCGGATGAAGATTTTTTAAAAAGTTGCTCTTATAAATAATTGCAATAGAACAAGTAACTAATAACAGTTGTGAGAAGTGCTAAGGACAAGAAGCACGCAGTGATGTGGGAGTGCAGCCAAAGGGAGGAGGCTTTGTGGGAGGCTGGCTGAGAACAGCCAAGGCCTCTGTACTCCCTTTCGTGACTCGTGCACAGTGATGGATGACAGAGAGGCCAGCGGTTTATTTCCCCTGGAAGCGGCGTTGCTGGTGTGGTGCAGGGTATCAGGATGCCTGCTATTTAATAAAGAACACTGCATGTGTCCTGGGTAGATGGATGAGCAAATATTCCTGATCAAAGAACCATGTGGTGTCCCTGATGTGAATGGGTAGGAGGGGCTGGGGCTGAGGCCGAGGCTGGGAGACTGAGATGGGGAGCCAGGTCTGAAATGTAAGAAACGTAAAAAGCATCAGCTGCACTGCTATCCTCCGCTAGAGCACAGAACTCCTTCACACTGTGGGTGGCTGCTGCCCCCTGATGGGCACAGGGACACAGTTTCATTTTGTCCTTTAAGGAGGGCTTGGGTCCTAGGTACTGAGAACTTAGCATTGTAGGGGGTGTCCCAAAGGAATGTTAGAAGAGCCTTCTTCTTCTGGTTCTTTCCCCTGTGCACACTGCAGCCAGGGCTGGGAAGGCCTCCCCATAGCTGTGGCCCTGAAACTTGCAATTGAATCTTTGGGGATGGAATTTTGATTCCTAGAGTGGTGAGGGGGCAAGAGAGGAGGAGAAAAAAAGGAAGGAATGTGGAATCTCAAATCAACTTTATTTGAATGACCCATCCCATTTCCTTTGTCTATTTGTCTCACTTTATCTTGGGTAGGATAAACCCCATAGCCTTAAAATGTGTTCTCAAATAACTGTGGCATTTTCTTTTACGTGTTTATTTATTACTTACTTGGAGCTAGGCCGGGCTTCATAAATCTGATGTTGTGTTTTCCCTTTCCCCCCATTACTATCAACCAGTTATCAATCCATCCAGAATTTATTGAAAGTAAATGGGGCTTGAGGAGAGAAGGAAACTTACTTTTCACTGTACTGTTTGTACTTTTGGAATTTTTACTACCATGTGTTCAGGTTATACCATTTGAAAGTAATTATTAAAAATGAGTCGGGTACTTTTTCAGCTGGATGTTGTGCAAGGTGCTGCAGTCTGGCACACAGGTCAGTTCCTGAGCCCAATGGGATGGCAAACATTCTTTGTGTTTCAGGATCCAGGGGCACCCAGATCCCCTGACCCGTGCTTGAGGTCCCCTTAGCTTGCATCTGTCTGATAAGCTGATCCGAGGGAAGATTTCCCTCCGTATCTGGGGGGGCCTAGGTCAGTGATGGTGAACCTTTTGAGCTCGGCGTGTCAGCATTTTGAAAAACCCTAACTTAACTCTGGTGCCGTGTCACATATAGAAATTTTTTGATATTTGCAACCATAGTAAAACAAAGATTTATATTTTGATATTTATTTTATATATTTAAATGCCATTTAACAAAGAAAAATCAACCAAAAAAATGAGTTTGCGTGTCACCTCTGACACGCGTGTCATAGGTTCGCCATCACTGGTCTAGGTTATAGGTCTGTGTGTATAAGCTGGATGTTATGTCTGTTTTGGATGTGTTCTCATGTGATCGTGCAGTGTGCACATTGTGATTCATTTGTAAAACATTTTCTAATTAATGTCTGTCTACTTGCACTAATTGTATTCTCCATGAGGGCAGGGACCCTGTATTTTCTCTCTCTCCCTCCCCCCCCATCCCCCCCCCCCCCCCGCCCGCTCCTCTTTTTCTTTTTTTGGCCTAGCACACATAGTAGGAACCCAATAAATATTTATTGAAAGAATGATTGCACACATCTGTTTCTATGTGTGCTTTAGCAGCTATAATTTGTGAATCATCAGAGGCACAGTACACAGTTATCCGTTACAGTGCGACAGATGTCTCCCATCCTCTGAGAACAGGAAAATTGTTTGAATGATGTTTGTCATGTGCTGTCTCTCTGTGCACTCTGGCTGCATTTTATACACGCAATTTGGGAGTCTGTGGTGGTACTTCAGAAACTATTTATTGAACATCCATTGTATGGCAGACCTGGGTGAGGTCGCGAGCAAAACGACTTCTGCTGCCCTGGCAAACTGGGATCCATCTCTTGGGAGTGAGCTTTCTTTGCAGGTGAGGAAGCCTCGGGTACGCATGTGGGGGTGGGTGGAGCCCGGTTCAGGAAGCTCCGCCCCCAGAGTCACCTTTTTTTTTTTTTTTCATTCCGGAACCTTTGTGCCCGTCCCACCGCGTTTCCTTCGGACTCTTTTCAGTACAGAGCACTTCCTGAGTCGCCCGGCTGCTTGGCGTGGTCTGCGTGCTGAAGCTTTGACTCGCGTGCGCCGGGCTCTTCCGCGGCCTCGCGTGCCGGTCCCCGGGCCTCATGGCGGGGCTGACCCTGTTTGTGGGCCGCCTCCCGCCCTCGGCCCGCAGCGAGCAGCTGGAGGAGCTGTTCAGTCAGGTGGGGCCGGTGAAGCAGTGCTTCGTGGTGACAGAGAAAGGTGAGGGGGCGGGGCGTCCGGGCGGGGGCCCGGGCTCCTGGGAGCGGGGAGGGGGGGAGGACCCTTCCCAAACTCCAGCGCGCCTGCGCTCTCTACCCGCCCCAAGAGAAGGGTCTGGGATTGAGTTTCTTTTTCAAACGGACTGAGTCCCTAGGGGTCTGTTTCTGACAGTCAAAGCATTCCCCGAAGTTCAAGTAGCGCTTTCCGGTTAGGATGCCCGCTCATGTACCGTATCTCATTGGGTGATGGTGACGATAGCGACCTACCAAGAAAGCATCGCTAAGGCTTATTGAGAGTCAGCCATCGCCAGGTACGGTGCTGAGTTGCACACCGGTTACCTCATTTAATCTTCTCAGCATTCTTATTCGGTGGAGACTCTTTTTTTTTTTTTTAAATATATTTTATTGATTTTTTACAGAGAGGAAGGGAGAGAGATAGAGAGTTAGAAACATTGATGAGAGAGAAACATCGATCAGCTGCCTCCTGCACACCTCCTACTGGGGATATGCCCGCAACCCAGGTACATGCCCTTGACCGGAATCGAACCTGGGACCTTTCAGTCCGCAGGCCGAGGCTCTATCCACTGAGCCAAACCGGTTTCGGCACTCATTTCATATTTATTGGATGCCTACTAAGGGCCAGGCGTGTTGTAGGTCCTGGGGATATGTCAGTGCACACAGCCTTCAAGATGGGAAGACAACCAACAAACAAATAAGCAAAATATACAGTGATAATGGTGGCAAATGTTAAGGAGAAAAATAACTCCGGGAAGTAGGATAGGGAGTGTGTGGGTGTGTGTGTGGATGTGTAAGGGGCGTAGAGGAGTGCCGGTTACAGTTCGAGTAGCCAGGGAAGCCTGGAGGGGAGAGTGGCGTGTCTGTCAGGGGAGAGGAGCGGTCTAGGCAGAGGAAACTTCAAGCTCAAGGACACTGAGGAGGGCTGTGCCTGGTGTATTGGAGGAATAGCAGGGAGCCCTGGGTGACTGGAGTGGAGTGAAAGGAAGGAATTAGGAGAGGAAATCGGGTTCCCAGATTATGTAGAAGCTCATAGGCCATGGCAAGGACTTTGGCTTCCCCCTGAGATGGGAAACTACTGGTTTTGAGCAGGGAGCAGTCAGTATGATCTGGCTTACATTTTGAAAGATTCTGTCAGGCTGTTGTGTTGAGAGTAGCTGTTGGAGAATAGAACAGAAGTAGGGAGACCTCTTGCAACAATCCAGGCGAGAGACCATGGTGTTGGACGAGGATGATAGCTATGGGTGGTAAAAAGTGATTGGAAAAAAAAAGGGGGGGGGGGGGGGAAAAAAGGGGGAAAAAAAAAAGTGATTGGAATATGGAGAAAAAAATATATACATATATATGTGTATATATATATATATATATATATATATACACATACACACACACTAATAAAAGAGAAACATGCAAATTGGTGTCACTCTGCTAAGCCCACCAGCCAATCGATGAGTATGCAAATTAACCCAACAAAGATGGCAGTTAATTTGCATATGCAGGTGTAGATTGAAGACTGAAGGTTCCAGTCGGCTGGACTGAAGACTGAAGAGGCTTGGCTTCTCCACTGTGGCTGGACCAAAGGCCTGGGCCCCGGGTGCAGGAGGAAAACCAGAGCCGGCAGCCAGGGGAAGGAAGGCCTATTGCGCGAATCTTCGTGCAACGGGCTTCTAGTGTATATATTAATGTATTGTAATTGATTTCAGAGAGGAAGGGAGAGGGAGAGAGAGATAGAAACATCAATGATAAAAGAGAATCATTGATCGGCTGCCTCCTGCACCCCCCCCCCCCCACACCCACCCCCGGGATGGAGCCCATAACCCAGCATGTGAGAATCAAACCTGGGACCCTTCAGTTCGCAGGCTGATGCTCTATCTGCTGAGCCAAACTGGCTAAGGCAGAATGTGGATATTTTCTAAGGTAAAGCTGAGAGGATTTGCTGATGGATCAGATGTGGGGTATGAGAAAAAGAGGGGTCAAAGAGTCAAGTCTGAGTCCAAGGGTTTTGGCTTGAGCCACTGGACACATTTACTGACTTGTGGAGTACTGCCGTATGCTTCACATTCTGTCTGATGCTCATCACATCACTGTGAGGGAGGGGTGGCATGTATTAGCATGAGGGTGAATTGTAAGTGTTTTAATTGGAGAAGCATTCTTTCCTCTTACCTAGACTTTAGGGATACTCAAGACAGGCACCTGATGTTACCCAGACATACATTTAGTTTAGTTCCCTTCTAAGTCATCAGTCTGTCTCTCTAGTGGCTGGTTTAGGGCTCTTGACTGATGATGATCTCTCCTCCTTACTGTTCAGGGAGTAAGGCATGTCGAGGCTTCGGCTATGTCACTTTTTCTATGCGGGAAGATGTTCAGAGGGCCCTCAAGGAGATTACTACTTTTGAAGGCTGCAAGATCAACGTGAGTGTTGCCAAGAAAAAACTGAAGAACAAGTCCAAGGAAAAGGGGGGAAATGGTGAGTTTCTAGTAACTGAAGGGAGTTTCTTCCAGGGTGAAGAGGAAGTGGAATGGCAGGATGAGGGTGTGGGAATCTCCTAAATTTAGAGCTTCCTGAATTTCGTTTTTATATCCAAAATTATCCAATGTATTTTGTTAACTTCCAAGTCTGGGAAATCTGTGGTCCTGGGTGTTGTCATACCAGCCCCCGTGGTAAATGCCATCTGTTGCTAGTAGTTTTTTTTCCTGTGCTGTCCTGGGCCTCAAGATGGATGGTTTTGCAGCACACTTATTCCATTCTCTGTTATTGATTTTAGAAAATTCAGAGTCCCCAAAGAAGGAGCAGAAGCCTAAAAAGGCCAAAGTGGCAGATAAGAAAGCCCGATTAATTATCCGGAATCTGAGCTTTAAGGTGAGTGACAGAGAACACTAACACTGCCTATTCTGAAAGCTGTTGGTCACGGGTGGAACTCCTCACCCGATGGTAAATTGGGAATGAACCTTAGCCTTGCTGAATTCAGAAAATGGGCCTGTATAAACAAGGACTTAAGACAATAAGGGAAGATGCTTCCTGAGAAAGGGTGGGGAGGAAAAGCTCTCTAATATTTGTCCTTTTTGCTTCTTAGATATAGAGCAAGATGTCTTCTATTTAGAAATGTTTGTCCTAGTTTCAAAAGTAAAAAAGGAGTAAAAATATTCAAGTTCTTCCTAATGAACTAATCTAGTAATTAATGTTTCATGTTTACTTGCTGAGATAATCCCTCTTTTTCTTTCTTTACTTTTGTCTTCAGTGTTTAGAAGATGACTTGAAGACCATATTTGCTCAATATGGAGCCGTCTTAGAAGTTAACATCCCTAGGAAGCCAGGTAGTAGCAAACCTTCATTGGTATGGATTAGATTAATATTATTTAACATAAGATCTTTTTCTATATTACCCTTGAATTAAGCACCATTAGAACTAGAAATGCAAGGTTCATGTCATATTCTTTGTGAGCCCTAGATAATGTGATATGTATAAAGTAGTAGGCACAGTAATAAAAACTCATGTAATAGTGCTTTACATGAGTATTTAAGTTAGGTATTTTTAGTTTAGGTATCCCCTGAACTAGTTAGATTTTTAGTAGATCAGAACTAGTTTTAGAAGACAAGTTACAGTTTGAGAAAATGCATTGCTCCAAGCCCAAGTCAGGGTATACTCAATAGGAGGACATAAGTTTTGGGCAAGGGGCTGGCTGGTTGGCAGGATTTGGGATATTCTAGCTATATATTCTTGGGTTTGTTGGCTTTCCACCTGCTGCTTCTAACATTTTTGTACATTTGCACACAGATGGAAAGATGCGTGGTTTTGCTTTTGTTCAGTTCAAAAACCTCCTAGAAGCAGGAAAAGCTCTTAAAAGCATGAACATGAAAGAGATAAAGGGTAAGTTTTCTCTACCCATACCATTGACCTAGATATTTCTGGTGTTTGGGTGAATTAGCATAGTAACGCACTTGCTACATCTTCAAAAGGTATTTGCATTGTTGAGAGTCTCACTGCTAATAAGAAGCTATTTTGGTGAAATATTCCTAACATTTGACCTTAGGTTAAACTCAAAAGAACCTATGTCATTATTCTCTTTTTTATTTGGTAATGAGTGTTCTTTTAAATCCCTAATAAAAAGATATCCCTGAAATAATCACTGATAGATGCAGGTCGTTGTCTAGGGGTTATGAGATTTGTAGGTTTTTCCCTCTTGGTTATAAGCATTATTCAGCATCTGTGGGCTAGTAAATTGACCATGAGGCTACTCTGGGTATTGATTTACCAGGTAGTAAAGAAGGATTGACTTAGAGATTTCCTACCTTTTGATGCAAATGATTCTAAATATGGTGCAAATTATTCTAAAATGCCAGTTTTTCTTTTTTTTTTTTTAATATATTTTATTGATTTTTTTACAGAGAGGAAGGGAGAGAGATAGAGAGTTAGAAACATCGATGAGAGAGAAACATCGATCAGCTGCCTCCTGCACATCCCCCACTGGGGAAGTGCCCGCAACCCAGGTACATGCCCTTGACCGGAATCGAACCTGGGACCTTTCAGTCCGCAGGCCGACGCTCTATCCGCTGAGCCAAACCGGCTTTGGCAAGTTTTTCTTTTTTTTAAAAAAATATATATTTTAATTGATTTCAGAGAGGAAGGGAGAGGGAGAGATAGAAACATCAGTGATGAGAGATGATCATTGATTGGTTACCTCCTGCACACCCCCTTCTGGGGATCGAGCCCGCAACCTGAGCATGTGCCCTTGACCGGAATCAAACGTGGGACCCTTCAGTCAGCAGACCGATGCTCTATCCACTGAGCCAAACTGGCCAGGGCTGTTTTGCTTCTTGCTAACTGGAAACTTGTTGGTCTAAGTGGAAGCAATGTTCTAATTATTTTTTTAAATTATATCTTATCCCAGGTGTGGTGGCTGTGTAGGAAGGCAGAATTTATGTTCATTGATAAAAAAAAGGTTAAGGTTTAAAAAGAATAAACAGTTGTTAGGAGTTTTATTTTAGGACCACTATTCTTTGATGAATAAGAAGCCATTTATAGGAGATAAAAGTGTTAAAAAGATGTTACTTTTCTGTCTGACAGGTCGGACAGTAGCTGTGGATTGGGCTGTGGCAAAGGATAAATATAAAAATACACAGTCTGCCTCTGCCCCAGGTAAGATGTGGTGATGCTGCTTAGGAGGGGTTGTATGTTTTGGGGTGAGTGTGGAAGCAACTGTATAATAAAAGTATGTATAAGGAAACCTGCTTGTCAGGGAGAATATTGGGCTGGAGATACCAAAAGCACAGGATTGCCCCCCAAAATGAGACTGAGTAGTAAGAAAAACTGAATACCTTCTGGCTCAGAAACCCAGAGCTGTTTGTCAATTCATATTGTCCCATCTGGTGACCTGGTCCCAAAACATAGGATCTTTTTTTGTTTGTTTGTTTGTTAATCTTTACCCGAGGATATTTTTCCATTGATTTTTAGAGAGAGGGAGAGGGAGAAACACACAGAGAGAGAAACATTGAAGTGTCTCTCACATCAATTGGTTGCCTCCCACAGGGACCAGTGCGGAGATCGAGCCCACAACCACGGTACATGTCTTTACTGGAATTGAATCCTTGACCCTTCAGCCTGCAGGCCAACGCTCTATCCACTGAGCCAAACCAGCTGGGGTCCAAAACATTGGATCTTTTGAGTCTAAGCCCACTCCTGGGTGTGGAGTGAGTGGTGGGTCTGAGTTCATTGTTCCCTCTACTTGCTGTCCTTTTTCAGCCTTCATAGTAAGAACTGATGGAACATTGCCGTAAATAAAAATAGGGGAAGTTAAAACTTGCATTTTACTTAGAAAACAATTGGCTTTCAGGCTACCCAGAGCTCGCCGAGATTAAAGTTCATGGTTGGACTGAACCATGCATTGTGCTGGCTGTGGTGCAGGATGGTGGGCTGTTTGTGAAGGCTCAGTTGCTGCTTCTCTCATTCTGAGCCAGGTAACCTTCAGGCTTTTGATGAATGAATTTGACAGCCTCCAAGGGAATCTCAGTGATGAGCTTTTTCTTTCTTTCTTCATACTTCATACAATAAGAAAAATACATGAGATTCTGTAAAACTAAAGGAACTAGGAACTTGATGGTATTATTTACTCTTAAAATAACCTTATTTTAGATACTGAATTAATTTCTAACTTTCTTTACTTCCTTGTTTAGGTGAGGAGAAGCAACCTGAACCTAAACATCAGAAATTAGATAAAGTGAATGGCAGGAAAGAAGAGGTTATGAGAGAGGAAGAGGATGATGATGGTGATATGGAAGAGGATGATGATGAAGATGGTGATGATGGTGATGAAGAGGAGGAGAAGAATAAAGAATCAAAGGCGACCAAGCGTGTGCAAATTCACAAGAGGTAAGCCGCTTAGCTTGTTCTGAGACAACAGTGGAAAATTCAGGATGGTCTCTGTGGGGGAAAAACGGGCTTTTCCCGTCCCCGTCATTGCGGACTTGACGTGTGTAATAGAGTTGGATAGCCCCTCTGTCCGCCCAGGTCCTTAGTTCTAAACTGTGCCATTGCAGAGCAGTCAAGAGACCAGTGCCCTCAGAAGGCAGTGAAGAGGACCATTCCGATGAGGACAGCGGCCTGGAGGACGGTGATAGTGTTGGTAGTGAAGAGGACCTGGCTCAGAGTGACACCCACACTGAAGAGCAGGAGGATGAAGGTTTGCTTGGAATTTTCAAATTTAAATTACTACTGAGAAATGTGCATCAGTGCAGTGCAGGCCTCTTTAAATAGGACCCTAAGGTGTTTTGTCAAATTTATGTTAAAACGCTGAAGATGAAAACTTTGTATTATTTTGGTTTTGTTTTTTAAATGAGTTTGGAGTGGTGTTTGAGGGTTAAGATTCCTAGGGAATTTAAAACGTAGCTTAATTCTGAGGCACTGCCTCTCTCTCTTGATCTCTCTAATTATCCAGCCCCGAATGAAAATTGGATAAACAGGATATTGCATCTAAGACCACGGTGGATTTTAAACAACTCTTTTGAGTTGAGAGGGGGATAAAGGATTTCTTGGGGCATTTTGTAAAACTGTAACCAAATGCTGTTGCTATGTTTATCAGGAATGTTGGGTAAACTCAAAGCATTTATTGAGGGAAGTAGGTCCTTTAATTTGTCTGGATGGAGGTTTTTGTTTACTTATCAGGTCACTCCCTTCTGCTTCCTTTTCTGTAAGGCTGGCATGCCGGTTGGACCATATAAGAAATCTGAAGGAAAAAGCTTTTTTCATGAGGAGAGAATGGTAGATACCTTAGAATCAAAGAAACTTTTATACTAAAGGGACTATGAGACCTTGCATTCTACAACCAGATTCAACTGTCTATTACCTTTCTTTCACTTGAAAAAATTATGGGACTAATACATAATAATGAGAGAACATTAATAAAAAATATACTGCAGAAGAGTATGGCATAGAAAGTAAAAGTTCCTCACCAACCCCTCAAGGTCCAAAGTAGTCACTGTTGTTTCTTTTGTATCTTTCCAGAAATTTTGTGTGCATATATAAGCATGTATATATATTCTTAGAAACAAATAGTGAGTCTCCCTTATTCCCAGATTCTCAGCGACGTAGGACCCTTCCCCAGAGACAACCAATGTTATATGTTTCTGGTATATCTAAAGGTAATTAATACCTTTATGGGTAAAAACATACACATATACAATATAGTGTACATTATATGTGTGAATATGTGTTATTTTTTTAAGTGTTCTATGTTTTATATTTCTAAAAAGTTTACATTTTCACAGTAGCTTATGGGACTCTTATTTTTTCCCCATATCCTTACTACATTGGATTTTATCTGTCTTTTCGGTTTTTGCCCATCTGTTGGTAAAGAATTGTATCTAATTTCTTGTGCTGTTTTTCTTTAATTATGAGTGAGCTTGACAAATTTTTCATGTATATATTTGCATATCCTTTGTTCATTTTAAATTGATTTTTTCCTTATTGATTTATGCAATATCTTTAGATATTTAAGAAGTTAGCCCTTTGTTGTATGGCTTACACTAGTGTTTTTCAGATTGTTTTGTTTGTTTGTTTACTTTAGATGTACAAGTCTCAAAGAAAAAGAAGAGGAAATTACCCTCTGATGTGAATGAAGGGAAAACTGTTTTCATAAGGTATGCCTTTTTACTTTTAAGAACTGCTCTATTTGTGTTGCCGTCATAGGTTTCTCTTACCTCCCTCTCTCCCTCCCTTTCTTTTCTCTTCTCCTTTTTTTCCTCTTTACTTTTTTGTACTAGTTCTATTAAATAGACCAGAAGTTTGATGCCTCTAAGACCATTAGCACATCTGGCTCTAGGAGCATAGCAAACAATGAGGAACATAGAATCAGAACCATATACAGAAGTATTTATGCAGAGGTTATCATATGTTGTCCCTTGTTATTTTTTTATTTTTAGAAAATTTTTTCCCATTGGTTTCAGAAAGGGAGGGAGAGAGAGAGAGAAAACACCAATGATGAGAGAGAATCATTGATTGGCTGCCTCCTGCATGCCCCCCACTAGGATCGAGCCAGCAACCCAGGCATATACCCTTGACCAGACTCGAACCTGGGACCCTCCAGTCTGCAGGTCGACACTATCCACCAAGCCAAACCAGCTAGGGCCTTATTTAGATTTCATTCTTTGTAATTGGGGCGGCATCATTTGGAACAAATCAATTCTTCAACTATGAGAGATATCCTACTTGCTGGCCTTTGTTTTCGTTTTTTTTTTTTTTTTTTTAATACATTTTTATTGATTTCACAGAGGAAGGGAGAGGGAGAGAGAAATAGAAACATCAATGATGAGAGAGAATCATTGATTGGCTGCCTTCTGCACACCTCCTACTGGGAATTGAGCCCAAAACCTGGGCATGTACCCAAACTGGGAACCAAACTATGACCTCCTCGTTCATAGGTCAATGCTCAACCAGTGAGCCACACCAGCTGGGCACTGGTGGCCTTTCTTTTAAGGGGAGTGTTAGAGAGGGGTGACACCACTTAACTCAAACAATTTCTTTCTTCATGCCTAACTTCTAAAGTAGTGTCCGTAATAAAGTAAGGCATCCCATCTGTTTCTAGGGAAACTGAGGGAGAGAGTTGGGTGGAGATGGGTTTTATTTCATGTTCCCATTGCTATTTTAATCCTGACTGCAATAGATTGGCATTTTCAGAAGGTTGGGATATCTTTACCACACCTCTAATATGCTTTCATGTTCTTTCTTAAGCACCAATGTGCAGGGCTATTTGAATCTTATTTGAGAGACTAGGGGCCCAGTGCATGAATTTGTGCACCTTGAAAGGAACTGTGGGCCGTGAGGCTCTGGTGGGCACAGGGGCGGGTCTCAGCCCATCCTCCGCACTCCCCCCTTCCCCGGCCACTCCTGCCGTGACCCCGCTCCCACCACCACTGCTCCCACAAGCTGACGGTGCTGGTCCCACCCGCACCCACTGATGGAGTGATTGGGACCGGTGCCAGCAGCAGGTGCAAGCGGGGCAGTGCTGTCAACAGGTGTGAGTGGCAGCTGCTGTCCCAATCGCCCTTTAGGAGCAGGGGGCAGTGGAGAAAGTCCTGAGGGGCAATTGGGGCCAGCAGCCGCTGCTCGTACCCACTGATGGCGTTGAGTGATCGGGGCCAGCTCTGGGCGCCAGCAGCAGGTGCGAGCGGCGGCTCAGGCGGTAACAGCGGGTGCAAGCAGGGCTGGTGCCGGCAGCGGGTGTAAGCGCTGGGTGGGACTATGGCATGCAGGAGCAAAGAATTTTCAGTAACCACCAGAGGCTCGCCCCGATGACAGTGACCAGCATCCTGCCTTGGTCTGGTACCCCCTCTCACCTGCTCCACCATCCCACTGCTGCCAACGCCCGCCATGTTCTGTGCGCGCCCCCTGGTGGTCAGCGCACAGTTGTTCGGTTGTTCTGCAGTTCGGTCTATTTGCAGATTAGGGTTTTATATATATACTAGAGGCCCGGTGCGCAAAAATTTGTGCACTCGAGGGGAAGGGGGGGTCCCTCAGCCCGGCCTGTGCCCTCTCGCAGTCTGGGACCCCTCAGAAGATAACGACCTGCTGGCTTAGGCCTGCTCCCGGGTGGCAGAGGGCAGGCCCAATCCCTAGGTGCAGCCCCTGGTCGGGCTCAGAGCAGGGCCGATTGGGGAGTTGGGGCGCCGCCCCTGTCATGCACAGAGCAGGGTGGATCGGGAGGTTGCGATGCCACCCTCAGTCACGCTCAGGGTAGGGCTGATTGGGGGGTTGGGGCACCGCCCCCTGTCACACTCAAGGCAGGGTCGATGGGGAGGTTGCGGCACCACCCCCTGTCACGCACAGAGCAGGGCCAATCGGGGGGTTGGGGCGCTGCCCCCTGTCACTCACAGAGCAGGGCCCATCAGGGGGTTGGGGAGCTCCCCCTGTCATGCACAGAGCAGGGTCGATCAGGGGGTTGGGGAGCTCCCCCCTGTCATGCACAGAGCAGGGCCCATCAGGGAGTTGGGGCACTGCCCCCTGTCACACACAGAGCAGGGCGGATCAGGGGGTTGGGGTGCCGCACCTTGTCACACTCAGGGCAGGGCCAATGGGGAGGTTATGGCTTTACCCCGTCACACACAGAGGAGGGCCCGTGGGGGGCGGTTGGGGCGTCACCCTCTATCACCCACAGAGCAGGGCCGATCAGGGGGTTGGGGCACCGCACCCTGTCACACACAGAACTGCAGGGCGATCAGGGGGTTGGGGAGCTCCCCCCTATCAGGCACAGAGCAGGGCTGATCAGGGGGTTTGGGCGCCTTCCCCTGTCACGAACAGAGCAGGGCCAATAGGGAGGTTGTGGCCCCGCCCCCTGTCACACATAGAGCCGCAGGGCGATCAGGGGGTTTGGGTGTTGCCCCTTGTCATGCTGATCCCGGTGCCGGGAGGCCTCGCGGCTCCGCTGATCCCGGTGCTGGGAGGCATATTACCCTTTTACTATATAGGATAGAGGCCTGGTGCACGGGTGGTGGCCAGCTGGTTTGCCCTGAAGGGTGTCCTGGATCAGGGTGGGGGTCCCCACTGGGGTGCCTGGCCAGCCTGGGTGAGGGGATGATGGCTGTTTGCAGCTGGTCACACACCCTTCAGGGTGGGGATCCCCACTGGGGTGCCTGGCCAGTCTGGGTGAGGGGCTGAGGGCTGTTTTCAGGCTGGCGGGTGACGGAAGCTCCCAACCGCTCCTTTTTTTCTTTTTTTTTTATTCTGGGCCAGCTTTAGCTCTGAGGCTCCAGCTCTTAGGCCTCCGCTGCTGAAAGCAGGTATCTGGTTTGTTTGGGTTCTATAATTGAAACAATGTATAACTCCAGCTCTGAGATCCCCGCTCACTGAAAGCAGGTTTCTGGGGTTTTGTTTAGCTTCTATATTTGTTACAATGTTTCAAACTGCAGGCTCAGAGGCCGGCAAGGCAGGCGGGGAACGTTGGTTTCCTCTGTCACTGAAGCAAGCAAGCCTCATGTTAGTTTCAAGCTGCCTGGCTGCCGGCTGCCATTTTAGCTGGCATTTAATTTGCATATCGCCCTGATTAGCCAATGGGAAGGGTAGCGGTCATATGCTAATTACCATGTTTCTCTTTTATTAGATAGGATACCAGGTAGATGTGTATTTTATCCTCTTGCACAATCTTCTGAGATTGTTTTTATTACATAAGTAATTTATATTTAGGAAATAAATGTGCAAAAAGACACAAAAACATTAACCTTAATCACTACTCAGAGAACACCCACACACATGCCCACATCATTGTAAATATTTACAAAGATGTGTTTAGCCTATGCATGCTGCGCTATAACCCATTTTTCTTTACAGCATGTCTCTCCATAACTTCTTTTTACTGTGTTATATGGAATTGCCATATAAATAATTTTGTACTCTCAGAGGATTTTAACAGGAAGGAAGAAACATCACACTTAGAAGCCTGTGATCTCAATACCAAGTATACTGTTTATACATCATTTAAATTAACAACGAACTTAGGAAGGTAAAGGGATGAAAGAAAGAAAACTATGTACACGATGAGGCATATTAGAAGAAGTAATGCAGCTAGGATGTGTCTTATTAGAGAACTTTCTTTTGTTTTTTTTATACATTTATTTATTTTAATTGATTTCAGAGAGAGGAAGGGAGAGGGATAGAAACATCAGTGATGAGAGAGAATCATTGATTGACTGCCTCCTGCATGCCCTCTACTGGGGATTGAGCCCGCAACCTGGGCATGTGCCCTTGACCGGAATTGAACCTGGGACCCTTCAGTCTGCAGGCCGACGCTCCATCCACTGAGCCAAACTGGGCTTACAATATTATTGACGATTATCCCTATGCTGTACTTTACATCCCCATGACTGTTTTGTAACTACCAATTTGTACTCTCTAATCTCTTCACTTGAAGGATTTTCTGACTTCTATAAAATTTTAACTGAAACCAAGATTTCACAGCAACACTGAGAAGAAAATGGCTAATCAGAGAGAGAGACACACATTTGAGTGTTTTGTTTGTAATCAGGGAAAGTAATTTGGCCAATTTATTGAAAAAGCAGGTTTGTTGGATAAATGTTAGGTTGGCTCACAGAATGGTACTTGTCAAAGAGCAAACCTTAAGAATGGGATGAGCCGAAACCGGTTTGGCTCAGTGGATAGAGCGTCGGCCTGCGGACTGAGGGGTCCCGGGTTGGCTCAGTGGATAGAGCGTCGGCCTGCGGACTGAGGGGTCCCGGGTTCGATTCTGGTCAAGGGCATGTACCTGGGTTGCGGGCACATCCCCAGTGGGAGATGTGCAGGAAGCAGCTGATCGATATTTCTCTCTCATCGATGTTTTTAACTATCTCTATCCCTTTCTCTCTGTAAAAAATCAATAAAATATATTAAAAAAATTATTAAAAAAAAAAAAAAGAATGGGATGAAACTCTGGACAGTTCTGGGACCTCTGCTGCAGGTGGCAATGGGTCTTTTCTCTGAGGATGCCCCACTATTTTTTAACTTATTTTTTTTAAATATATTTTTACTGATTTCAGAGAAGAAGGGAGAGGGAGAGAAAGAGAAACATCAGTGATGAGAGAGAGTCATTGATTGGCTGCCTCCTGCACAACCCCTATTGGGGATTGAGCTCGCAACCCAGGCATGTGCCCTGACCAGGAATCGAACCCAGGATTTTTCAGTCCACAGGCTGACACTCTATCCACTGAGCCAAACTGGCTAGGGCTATTTTTCTAACTTCTTAACACATTTCATACCGCTCAGGAGTTTTCTCGTGTTTCGCGCGCCATCTGTTAAGGACCACTCACGAGTGTTCTCGTTTTTCACACCCATGGAAAAAGGAGTGAATCTAGACACTTATGTAAATTTTGTTTGGTCCCTCTTCATAGAGGAAAATGTTTTACGCAGTACCATATGTTAAAAAAGTACTAGGAACTTTAATTGTTTGTTTTTGTAAATAAAAATGTTATAATTATTGAAAAATAACACCTAAAGTGCATTATGATGGTTTAAATAACGTGCAGTTTGCCCAAAAACATGTGGTCCCTGGCGTATGTCTTAGAGATTTCTATGCGGTACGCAGTGTGTTAAGGTGTAACAAATTCTGTAGGATGTATTAATGTAAATGTACAACTCAGTGAAATTTCTCATATTTATATACAAGGTTTGGCAAAACATGTATATGCTCATATACATTTACATATGTATATTTATATATATGAATGTATACATGTATCCGTGTAACCACCACCCAGATCAAGACATAAGTTTCCTTTGGGTGGGACACTGCTGTTTTGAAGTGAATCTGCATCTACAACTTCTGGTCTTTGTATAACTCTGTTCAAGTTTTAAATTCCTGGAGAGAGAATCTGATTGACAGAGGAAGGTCAAGGGGCACGGTCACATATCAGAAACCTGGCCATTGGAGGTCTCCCCTATTGGTGCTATTCCTCAACAAGGCAGAGTGGTCTTGAGCAAGGGAACCACTCCAGTTGGTGTCTAACTCGCTCATTTTGTAACCAGAACATGGGATCTTTTGTAATTGACCTTTCTTGTGATCTAATTGTCTTCCATAGAAACCTGTCCTTTGACTCAGAGGAAGAAGAACTTGGGGAGCTCCTCCAGCAATTTGGAGATCTTAAATATGTCTGCATTGTCTTACATCCAGACACAGAGCATTCTAAAGGTATTTGTTGTCAGCTGGTCAGGCCCTAGAAGAGTGAAACTACTGCCATGGGCACTGAGGGGTTCACATTTAGCCCAAGTTTCTATGGTCCATAGAAGCACCAAAGACATTCTGAGGTTGTCCTCTATGAGGTCAAATTCATGCAGCATATTTCATGCACCTGCCAGCCATAATTTTGTCTAAGCTTTTTAAGCCCTTATTTACTTTAGGGTAATGAATTCCATTTGTTGTTCTTTGAATTTCAAATGTGATAACATCTCATGGGTATTAATTATTCCACATTGCTTGACATTACTGGGATCTTTTTAGTTGCGTTTCTTAGCGATGGAAGATGATAGAAACTTTGTCGCAGTGGTAACAGAAAGAAAGAAAACCTATGTAAGAAGGGTTCTGCTGTAGATTTTTTTTCTTAAAGCTATTTATTTGAGATTCCAGGGTTGACCATTCCTCATTTCAGTATATTACTTTTCATAATCTTTGATTTCATCAATTGCAGTCATTCTTCTAAAGCAATTCTTTTTTTAATGTGGTTTTTTTGTTGTTACTTCTCACCCAAGGATATTTCTCATTGATTTTTTAAAATATATTTTTATTGATTTCAGAGAGAAAGGGAGAGGGAGAGAGAGAAACATCAGTGATGATAGAGAATCATTGATTGGCTGCCTTCTGCTGCCCCACACTGGGGATTGAGCCCGCAACCCGGGCATGTGCCCTTGGCCAGAATCGAACCTGGGACCCTTCAGTCCACAGGCCAACACTCTGTCCACTGAGTCAAACCGGCTAGGGCTCCATTGATTCTTAAAGAGAGGGGGGGGAGACAGAGAGAGAGAGAAACATCGATATGAGAGATACATGGATTGGTTGCCCCCTGCACATGCCCCAACCAGGCCTGAAACCAAGGTACATGTGATTGACTAGATTGGAACCCTGGACTCTTCATTCCATGGGCCAATGCTCTATCTGGCTAGGGCGCTCTCTCTTTTCTTTTTAATCCTCACCTGAGGATTTTTTCCATTGATTTTTAGACAGAGTAGAAGGGAAGGGAGAGGGAGGGAAGAGAAAAGAAAGAGAGTGAGAAAGATTGGTTGGTTGCCTCCTGCACACATCCAGAACAGGGCTGAGTATTGAACCCACAAATGAGGGACATGCCCTTGATTGGAATTGAACCCATGACCCTTTGGTCCAAGGGCTGGTGCTCTAACCACTGAGAAAAACTGGCTAGGGCATTTAAAAAAAAATCCTATCTAATAATAGACAAACATGGTAATTAATCATACCTCCATTACGCTTCCCATTGGCTAATGAGGGTGATATGCAAATTAACTGCCAACCAAGATGGCGGCCGGCAGCCAGGCAGCTTGAAGCGAACATGAGGCTTGCTTGCTCCAGTGACAGAGGAAGCCAAGGTTCCCCGCCTGCCGCAGCCCAGCTCTGAGCTCCAGATGCAACAATGTTGCAATTATAGAAGCTAAACAAACCCAGAAACCTTCTTTCAATGCCAGCAGGCTCAGAGCTTAGAGCGCCAATGATGACAACAGAGTTTCAATTATAGAAGCTAAACAAACCCAGATACCAGCTTTCAGCCAGCCACGGCCTCAGAGCTGCAGCCGGCTCTCAGCTCCAGTGACAGCTATAGAAGGTAAATAAATCCCAGAATTAAAAAAAAAAAGAGGCTGGGAGCTTCAGTCACCCACCAGCCTGAAAACGGCCCTCAGCCCCTCACCCAGACTGGCCAGGCACCCCAGTGGGGACCCCCACCCTGAAGGGAGTGTGACTAGCTGCAAACAGCCATTGGCCCGTCATCCAGGCTGGCCAGGCACCCAAGCGGGACCCTCACCCTCATCTGGATCACCCTTCAGGGCAAACCAGCCGGCCCCCACCCATGCACCAGGCCTCTATCCTATATAGTGAAAGGGTAATATGCAAACTGACCCTAACAGCAGAAAGACTGGGAATGACTAGTCACTATGACACACACTGACCACCAGGGGGCAGATGCTCAATGCAGGAGTTGCCCTCTGGTGGTCAGTAGCTCTCACAGCGGGGAGCTCTGCTCAGCCACAAGCCAGGCTGATGGCTGCCAGTACAGCGGTGGTGGTGGGAGCCTCTCCTGCCTCCTCAGCAGCGCTAAGGATGTCCGACTGCAGTTTAGGCCTGCTCCCTGCTGGCAAGTGGGCATCCCCCGCAGGCTGCCGGACTGCCAGAGGGATGTCTGATTGCCAGCTTAGGCCCAATCACCTGGGGAGCAGGCCAAAGCCAGCAAGTGGTCACCCCCGAGGGGTCCCAGACTGTGAGAGGGCACAGGCCGGGCTGAGGGACCCCCTACCCTGAGTGCACAAATTTTTGTGCACCGGGCCTCTAGTATAGATAGATAGATAGATAGATAGATAGATAGATAGATAGATATTATTGATTTCAGAAAAAAAGGGAGAGGGAGAGAGAGATAGAAACATCAATGATGAGAGAGAATCATCAATCACCTTCCTCCTGCACGCCCCCTACTGGGGATTGAGCCTGCAACCGGGCATGTGAACTGTGACCTCCTGGTTCATAGGTCAATGATCAATAACAGCCACACTGGATGGGCAGTGAATTCTTAATTCATTCTGATTCTTGATTCCTTTGCATTCTACCAAAAGCTATGAACCATCTCCTCAGAAAAAGGCCACTTCTGAGAGTTTGTGGGCTCCCTGGAGCCTATCCATGGATTGTTAACCTACTTTTTAAATCATCTTATTTTCCAAACTGATGAGATCTGAGCATTTTTGGGTTTTACTTGGTTAAAAAAGATGTACACGAGGCCTTATGATGGAAAGAAGATGGAACTGCTTCCTGGAGATTCGGGATCTAATCCCAGCTAGATCATAGCCCAGCTGGGTGATTTTTGGCAAATCATTTAACCACTGTGGACTTTCGTTTCTTATCTGTAAAATTAGTGTGTTCAGCTAGAGTAATCACTTAAGGTGCCTTAAGCTCTGATATTCAATTATACTTCTCCATTTCCAGTATGTTTTTCTAAAAATGAGCAACTGGAATTGCATAGAATGTTTCAAGTATGGTAAGATATTGCTTTAGTGTGATGTCTTTTGTCCCTTTTTGAGTGTGTGCTGTATTGGGTTGATATTTTCAGAATGTAGTCTACAATTGGCTTGCTTCACTTTCTACCTTGGTCTGTTAATTTTAGTTGAGAGTTAATGATCTTAAGTATATTTTTCATTATTTTTTGTTAATGCATGTCTTTCCCTAGCTCATAATTAAATTTTTCTGGCGCTTTTTCTGCCTACTCACTCATACAGCCTTGGCCTCGTCCTCCAGTTTATCCCATCAGCAAGCCATTTCACTGCCTGGAAGAGCTGAATATTATCTGCAGACTTTTAGGGAAGTGTTAAGACTGAATTTAATACTGACCCTGGAAATTCCAATGATAAAATTCCTACCCATTCAGAGAGAAATACCCATTTTTTTCATATTGGACAAATAGGATAATCTGCCTATTAGAAACATTTCCTCCCCATATTTCTTTGTTTTTTTTTTAATGTATTTTATTGATTTTTTACAGAGAGGAGGGGAGAGGAATAGAGAGTCAGAAACATCGATGAGAGAGAAACATCGATGAGCTGCCTCCTGCACACCCCCTACTGGGGATGTGCCCGCAACCAAGGTACATGCCCTTGACGGAAATCGAACCTGGGACCCTTGAGTCCGCAGGCTCTATCCACTGAGCCAAACCGGCCAGGGCTCCTCCCCATATTTCTGTATTTGTTTCTTCATATGGAGTATTTATTAATGCCGGGCATTATGGTAGTGCTAGGGATATGGGAACAGTCAAGAAACATGGCCCTTATTCCTCAAGCACCTAGTCTTTTTGTGAAGATGCCATCTGAATGGGGCTATAAATAGAGATGTGAGTGAAGGACCGGCAGGGTGGGACACTTGGCTCTGCCTGGAGGAGGCAGGAAAGATCTCACTAGATGGTGACCCTTGGGTTGACCTGCCCATGTGTTCTCTTAGTGAGTCTGCTGCCATTAATTTTTTTTAAAAAAAATTTATTTATTAAATTGATTGGGGAGACATGGTCAACACGAACACATAGGTTTCAGGTGTGGGTTTTTGTGTTACAAGATCTGTATATTGTACCATGTGCCCACCACCCAAAGTAAAATCTTGTCCTGTCACCTATATTAGGACACCCTTCTCCCATCAATGAGTGAAATCATCTAGCTTTTTCTGACTGACTTATTTCATTTAGCATAATATTCTCAGGGTCCATCCATGTTGTTGCAACTGGCGCTATTTCACCCTTTCTTATGCCATTTATTCTTATTGGGGACAAAACATCACTCCCCCAGTGGGGAATACTAACACAATATTATGAAACTTATATTTAAAATAAGGTTGTGGTTTTTTTAATGTCAATAACAGAAATTAGGATGGGCTAATTGGCCCTGCGTCTAACCAGTGAGAAATTCTGGACTGTGAGTTGAGAATTGAGCTCATGGGTTTCTGGTTCACTGCTGTATTCATTTGATAGAGGCCTGAGCCTTTTACTCCACGAGGCAGGTGTCCCCATACCTAATGCCTCCCAAGTAACAATGATGACAGTGAGATCTGTAATTAATTTCAGGGTTAAGTGGTCGCTGCCTCATTTTTTAAATCTTCTAATAGGCATGCAGTAAGTGATGCTGGATAAAATGTTAGGCTGGAATTTCTCCAGCATTTCTTGTGGATATTTGTTACTAAGGAGAGAGATGGTAAGACTAAAGTTCAAGGAGTATTGGAAAAGATGAAGGAAATAATAAAATTTCGTTGCGAACAGTTGTGCTATTTTTTCAGTACCCGACAGCGCCTGTCTCAACGGTATTTAACAAAAGGATGCTACCACCCCTTCCACTTGTGTCAGCCGCCCACCATTTGTGTGTTGTCTTTGGCCTCTTGGTGGTCCATGGGAGTTTAACATTCTCACTTGAATTTTGTCTCTCTGTACAGGTTGTGCATTTGCTCAGTTCATGACTCAAGAAGCAGCTCAGAAATGCCTTGCAGCTGCTTCTCCAGAGACCGAGGTAAGGAAGACATTTCCTTTACCCTGTAACCCAGGCAATAGTGGCTCCTAGGGGCAACACCTGCTGTTTATGCAAAGCATCATCATTATTATTATGTTGTCAATAATGCAATAATAGTCAAGCTTACATTTATTGGGCACTTAGTGTCTCGTAGGCACGCTCATTAGATAGGCACATGCATTTTCTTATTTAGTCCTTACATCAGCCCTATAGGGTTATATAAGGCTAGTATAATTGTATTGCCATTGTCTGTTAAATTTTCTTGAGTAGAGATAACACTACCATTTCATTAGCTTTCTTTAGATTACTAAAAATTTGCTTATTTACAGATCAGTTCCCTCAGTTTGGGCCTACTTTGGGCCTAATCATCTCCCATAAAATAAATTATTTAGTCCTGGCTGCCCTAAACACACATGGCCTTTTGCACTGCTATAGTAAATACTGTTAGCTGGGCCAAAATATATTGGGGTTGGGTTCCATAGCTTAATTGGTGACTGCTGTTTCCCTTTCTTTGCTGTTTCTTGTCAGTTCCTTAGTTTTTACTTATGTGTTTTAAGAGACAGGGTTGCAATCTTTTACAGGGTGGCGGGCTGAAATTGGATGGCCGGCAACTCAAGGTTGACTTGGCAGTGACCCGTGATGAGGCTGCAAAGCTCCGGACAAAGAAGGTGAAGAAGCCGACCGGAACCCGGAACCTCTACCTGGCCCGAGAAGGCTGTGAGTAGTGGATAGGAGACGTAAACCAGGCCTCTGAGAAGCTGGCCCTGTGCTGTGACAGTGACCCAGCAATATTTATGTTTGAGGGCATGTTTCACATTAAAACCCCAAATTCCCTCATTAGCAGTGTTTTTTATTATTATTTTAATGTTTTTTGTTTCTGTTTTAAAAAAAAAATTTTTTTTTTTTTTAATTTTAGAGAGGGAGGAGGGGAGAAAGAAAAAGAGAGAAACCAATGTAAGAGAGATACATTGATAGGTTGCCTTCTGTACGTACCCTGACTGGGGATTAAACCTACAACCTAGGTATGTGCCCTAACCAGGAATTGAACTGGTGACCTTCCGGTGCATGGGATGATGCTCCAACCAACTGAGCCACACTGGCCAGGGCATTAGTGTTATATTATTATTTCACTTCATTAGATGTGGCTTTCTGTTTGGAAACATTCACCCAGTTTGTAGATGAGCCAGTCTCGTCTTTTCTGCCTGCTGGCCTTTAGATCTTTTCATCGGAGATTGGCAGGGCAAAGAGGGAGGAAAAACTCAAATTACCTTTGCTTCTTGTCATCATTTCTTTTTTTAAACATATATTTTTATTTATTTCAGAGAGGAAGGAAGAAGGAGAGAGAGAGAGAAGCATCGATGATGAGAGAGAATCATTGATCAGTTGCCTTCTGCACACCCCACACTGGGGATCGAGCCCACAACCTGGGCATGTGCCCTGACCGGGAATAGAACCGTGACCTCCTGGTTCTTAGGTAGATGCTTAACCACTGAGCCACGCTGGCTGGGAGATTTATATAATAAGAGGTTTTCTGAAAGAGTGAAAATCACAACTAAAATTACTCTTTGGATTTAAAATGTGCAGAGTGCCTTTCTCTTAATGCCAAAAAGATAATCAGAAATTAGCTTTAATTAAAAAAAAGAGAATCCCTCCCTCTAGGTCAGTGATGGCGAACGTTTTGAGCTGAGCGTGTCAGCGTTTTGAAAAACCCTAAATTGACTCTGGTGCCGTGTCACATATAGGAATTTTTTGATATTTGCAACTATAGTAAAACAAAGACTTACATTTTTGATATTTATTTTATATGTTTAAATGCCATTTAACAAAGAAAAATCAATCAAAAAAATGAGTTCGCGTGTCACCTCTGACACGCATGTCATAGGTTCGCCATCACTGCTCTAGGTCATACAGTATTTGTCAGCCCACCTGCTACACAACTGCCCAGCGAGGACTGGTAATGTTAGGCCATTAGCCTTCGAGACTAGGCCTCTCTATGGTGATTTGGCTGTTTTCTGGGCTGGCTTATTTCACCACTTAGTAATGATCCCCTAGTACATGAGCAGTGAAATTCCAAGGGCCAGGGTATAGGTGGAGCAGTTTTGCATCCAAATGCTTAAAATGTACTTATTTTCAGAACTTCCTTTAGGCCTTTCCAGCTGGTGTTGGGCATATAAGGGAGAGAAGGAGAAGAGGAATGAAATTACAAACTATTCAGAGCAGCAGTTGCCAACCGGTGGTCCGTGGACCACTGGTGGTCCGTGAGGTCTGAAAGGTTGGCAACCGCTGATTCAAAGTATTAGTCCTTGAGAGCAGCTCTGAGCTAAAAAGTTAGCCCTGTAGCCTATTTCTGGCCCTACCCAAATGCCTCTGTGTCCTGGCCAGCAGAGTCCTCTGGGCCCTGTACAAAGAGCTTGCATCATTCAAATCACATTCCTCTTGTTGCTCAGTGAACATTCCCTTGCTGATGTCTTGGCCTTTTTCCCTCTTTCTGCAGTGATTCGTGCTGGGACGAAGGCTGCAGAGGGTGTGAGCGCGGCTGATATGGCCAAAAGAGAACGGGTGAGTAGGTTAGGTACCACCCTTCGATTCGACATGACTTATTATAAATCAATAAGTAATAGTTATTGTATGGTAGAGGAGTTTATTCAAGAGCCAAGTTTTGGTAACAGGCCATACTTACACTATTGTTAGAAAAAAGCACGCAGGTGAAACAGCAAATAACCCAAAGTTATCATAACATTAGCTCACCATTATATGCCATTAGAAGAACTGGATCTTATTTTTATTTTCTTAATGCTCAGCAGTAATGTCTGCTGAATAATATGCCTAGAGATCATGGAGTAGACACTTAGAGGCTAGGGCTGTGTATAATTAGGTGTCAGTGTAAATGCAGGATAACATAAGAAAGGAAGTTCCGAGTAGGCTGGAATCAGTAGGGAAGAAGGTAGATGTGGGTCTTGAGATAGTTAAGATGTCCGTTTTGGGGAAGAGGAGGAGGAGGCCTCCAGATTATACAGTCATTTTTGGAAAGCTCCATGTTTTGAGAGTTTCTACTGCTGACTGATGCCCTTAAATCCCTCTGCTGCTTGGTAATGTTAGTTCCCAGTATCTTTTACTTTTGCCCACATAACTTACTTTCAGAGAGCTAAGCCAACCTAGAATTAGCTGTGGAACCTGAAAGTGCAGAAGGTGATGGACAGAGATGAGAATATAACAACAGGAAGAGGTAGTGTGTCTTTTGTGTAGTTTCCTTTCTAGACTAGTGTTCTCAACCTTTTTTGTTAGTGAGCATCTGGAAATGATGGTATTTGATTGGCATTGTATACCCTTTTCTGATCACATTGCAATAGTGACACATTTAATTTTCTCTTAGATGAATTTTTCTAGCAAAAAGCTCATAGAGTATATGCATTATAATTCACAGCAGGCACAGCTTTTCCTGGAAGAAAAATCAGACTTTTGAACTTGGGCCTCTTCAAATATCCCTTTACCGTTCATTTCCAGAGCATCCATTTATTTTGTGATTTGTTAGAACCTTTGCCAAATAAGGAGCAACAGGAATGACAAGACTTGAAAGAAAAAATGTAATTTGAACCTTTTTTCTGCTAATTTTTCTAATTTAAAAAAAAAATCAGGAGAAGAATGTCATCTTTCATCTTTGAGACAGGCTGCCCTGGGCCAGTGTTTTGTGCAGCATAGTAGAAGCTGATGCTCTAGAAGCAGAATTCATTTCTGTGGTCATGGATATTCCTTTGCCTAAAGGTGGCAGAGTAGAGACAAGACAGCATTCTCTCAAGTATTCTTTAAAGAAATTCTATTATTTTTGGAAAGACTAATAGTTTGAGTTGGTGGGTAGATCAGGACTGGGCATAAATGTTAACTACAGCATTATTTATTATTTACTCTGGGCCAAGTTTTGAGGTCAGGATTTTATGTATATCTCCCCATTTTGGCCTTGCATCACTGCTGAGAAATTGACATTATACTAGTATTTTGATCTACAGTTCCACTTTGTAGGTGAAAATATTGTGGCTTAAAAAATTTCGTGTAACTTCTCCAGTTAGGGCTGGATTTCGAATTCAGTCTGAGGCCATCCATGACTGTCCCACGTGCCCACCATCTTGCCTCCTGATCCTTTCTTTCCCTGTGCTGGGACCGTACAGCTGCAGGGAGGGTGATTTCCCTCCTTTTCTCTATGGGCATAGTTATTGGATGGGGTCGTGGTTCTTTCCTCTTGTAGAACTGTGAGCCTGCATTTTTAAAGGGTGGATTAGATTGCTAACAGTTTTTTGTTCTTTCAGTTTGAGCTACTGAAGCATCAGAAACTGAAGGACCAGAATATCTTTGTCTCCCGCACCAGGCTCTGCCTGCACAATCTCCCCAAGGCCGTGGATGACAAACAGCTCAGAAAGTTGCTGCTGAATGCCACTAGAGGGGAGAAGGGAGTGCGCATCAAGGAGGTGAGAGTTGGCCCTGTCCACTCAGAACTTTGGTCCTGGGTCAGATGGAGCATTTATTTTCAGGCTGTGGTGCTAGCAGATTGACACATTTTCTTCTGGACACATTGTCAGTAGACAGGGCAGACTTTGGCAGTTTTCGTGCCTTTTTTTTTTTTTTTTTGCCTTTTTTCTAAGAACTGCCTTTCACATCTGACCAGATTGCAGTAGAATGTGAGGAAGTCTCTGCCCTAGTGAAGTACTTTAGCAAGCACTTATTGAATGCCCGCTGTGTGCTCAGCATTATGCCAGGTGCTGTAATGTTAATTTTCTTGCAGAGAAAATCACCTGTGTGCTTTGCTCTTTAGAAGAGCATTTTGCTGTCCTTTAGGCTCCCAGCCCATGGTGAGAGTCCTCAGTGCCCTGTGGTGAGCACAGGGAGCTGCACAGGTCTTCAGCAGCTGTGCTAGACAAACACTGTTCACACTGACACGGTTAGACACGGAGAACAGAAGCCTTTCTGCTTCCCGTTTCCCCCATGGCGGCTTGCATCCCTGTGTCATAGTGCTTACTATTACGCTGTCCTCCAATTGTTTATCAGTCATTTCTCCAACCAAACTGAGCTCTTTTAGGGCAGGTGTCATCTCATTGTTTCTAATGCTTGGCATAGCACCTGGCACATAGTAATCTGTCGATCAGTATTTCCTGAAAAAGTAACATAGCCAGTGTTATGAATCTTCTGTGCTCTGTTTCATCCCCATAACTTTTCCTAATCCCTGAGAGCCTCACCAAAATGTATGGTATTGGTATTTGGGGAATTACGTGAGAGAATGTGAACATGCCACTCTTGGTAAAACTGTTCAAAGTGTTACTGGTATAGGGGTCAGTTGTGTAATTCCTCATATCAACATCCACAACACTTAAGTGTCTGCACATTTAAAACCTGTCATTTAGAGAAACTTACGTGTTTTACAATATCTGCATTGTATTGAGTTTTTTTCTTTAATTCTTTCATATGTGTGAGTATAGTGTCTCAGCAAGAGAGTAAGCTTCTTGAGGACAGGAACCTCATTCTATGCTTTTCTTGATTTCCCTATAGTGCACGGCACAGAGTAGATACTGGACATACACCAAATGAGCATCCAAGTGGTCCTAATGCCTAGACCTAATGCCCAGCTTCTTCGAGTAATAGAATGTGAATGATCAGTTTTCCCAAGATTCCTTGCTGTATCTCAGTGCCCCAGGATGCCTATTACATTCAGCTTAAGGATTTAGGGAAAGGCCACATCAGGGAGAATCTGAGTGCCCAGCAAAGACTGCTGAAGCTGCTTTTTGTATTTCTGAGACTGCATGTGGTGCAGGCTTCTCCCCATGCCTGAAATGCCTTATCTAAAGCCATCAGGCTTTCTTCCTTCCCTTCTTTAGTAATTTCTTTTCTTTTTTTAAAATATATTTTTATTGATTTCAGAGAGGAAGGGAGGGAGAGAGAGAGAGAGAGAAACATCAATGATGATAATCATTGATCAGCTGCCTCCTGCACACCCCCCACTGGGGATCGAATCCGCAACCCCGGCATATGCCCTTGACCGGAATCGAACCCTGGACCCTTCAGTCCGCAGGCTGACGCTCTATCCACTGAGCCAAACCGGCCAGGGCAGTAATTTCTGAGTGGTTTCTACAATGATGAGCTCTAGCACTACATTTTATCCTCAGTGATAACTTAATATACAACTTCAGGTACCATGGACCTCTCAACTTGTATGTATTGTTAGTAGTTAGTTATTATAATTTCTTCTTGGAGAGTCGATTTTATATGCATGCTTATTTGTAGGTCAGTGTCGATGTCTGTAAACCCCTAGAAAGCATGAAAATACCTATTTAATTTGCTTTGTGCTCTCAGTAGCTGTATTCTAATAAAACAGACAGTCACAGTGTTACTTTAGTACAACTCTTGTGGTGATCTAGCTGAAGAATCTGTCCCAAGAATTGAATCTGTTAAGGCCCTCCTCCTGTAATTACTGATTCTTTTTCTTGTTCTACTCATAGTGTAAGGTGATGCGAGACCTCAAAGGAGTTTATGGGAAAATTAAGGGTCAGTCCCTGGGCTACGCCTTTGCAGAGTTCCAGGAGCACGAGCATGCCCTGACTGCCCTACGCCACATCAACAACAACCCAGAAATCTATGGGCCTCAGAAGGTGAGCCTCATTCTGTGGGGAGAGCTGTTCCCCTGAGGACCTTTTACAGAAAACCATTCCTCTCCTTTGTGTCCAGTGCTCTCTCAGACATTTGAGTGATGGGAAAGAGTAGCAAGTCGATGGAGGCAATGAGCAGTGATTCAGGTAATAAGATGATTGGCAGGAACTCTAAATTGTGTAGACTACTTACACTACGGCCCCTTACCTGTAAGTAGAGTTAAGTGAGCAGCCACCTCTGACTTGCAGAAAAGAGGGCAGTGGTGGGAGACAACTCAGCTCATTGCACTCAGAGATTAAGAAATCGAATGAATGACATTCTGTCTCCTCTGACACAGAGACCAATAGTGGAGTTCTCTTTGGAAGATCGAAGGAAGCTTAAAATAAAGGAACTGAGGATCCAGCGCAGCCAGGTACAGAACTGAAATGTTTTTTCTGTTTTTGTTATTTTTTAATTGTTGTTCATAACACATAACATACAACCTGCTGTTTTTAAGTGTACACTTCAGTTAAAACAGCTTTTAAAGGCTATATCTAAACTTCTGTATTGTTCAGTTTGTGATCTGCCCCCTTGAAATGGGACTCTACCTCAGTAGGTCCTGTGTTACCCTTTACTCACCGTCCCCCAGCACTCTCTAGGCTACCTCCTCTGCTGGCCTGTCTGTGAGAGCCCCGTAGAAGGGAGAGGAAGGAGAGAAGACTGTGTGCTGATTACGCACATGCGAGACAACTTACATGTATGAACTCATTTAATCCTCATCAGCCATGTCCGGTGGACATTATCAACCCCATCTTACAAACTAGGAAATGAAGCCGACAGAGGTAATAACCTGCCAAGGAACTCAGCAAGCAGCAGAGGCTGAGTATGGACATAAGTATTCATATGAAGCAGCCTGGTACACGCCCAGGCAGCGACTCGTGCAGTGCTTGGTGATGGTCCATGTCAGAATTAATGGCCACAATTAAAGTTGTGCACACCTGTAGATTTCAGCGGTCTCTTTCATAATTGATTTTTCTTCTTAGATAGCTCCAGAAATGTGATGCCTGATAGTTTTAGTACTGCTTTTAATCTAGTGTGGCATAGAGAAAAGAACAGGGACTTGGGGAACGGGAATACTTATTACGTTCATACTCAGCCTCTGCTGCTTGCCGAGTTCCTTGGCAGGCCATTACCTCTGTCGGCTTCATTTTCTAGTTTGTAAAATGGGGTTGATAATATCCACCGCACATGGCTGATGAGGATTAAATGAGTTAATAAATGTAAGTTGTCTCCAATGTGCGTGGTCAGCGCACAGTCAATACTCTCGTACCCATTCCCCCCCAACATAGGATCAGACTATTCTTGATGCCAAAGCTCTTACAGCTGACCTCGCTGTTATACCCTAGCTGGCATATGTATCAGACATTTGCAGTTTTTGTGGTGGGTAGTGTGAGCATGACCAGTAGAGGAGTAGGTTCAGTGCTTGACACAATGCCCTGGGTTGAAAACCTGTGATCTGGTTCTTGTTCAAGGCAACTTTTTACTTCTAGGTTTATTTACTGCCTTAAGCCATTGTTTCAGGAGGTGATTCTGAAGCTACTTTAGTTGTGTCTCTTATCTCCATTAGGCTGTGAGTCCTGAAAGGTAGACACTATTCTTCCCATCTGTGTGTACCCTTACCACTTAGAAGCAGAGATGGCATATAACATTATATAATAGATCTTTGTGTATCAATGTACCTATCTCAACTTTTAAAGTGAAAGGACAAAACAATACGACATTGATTTCATGTGAAACTTCATTTTCTTTTTCCACTTTAGTGCAACATAAATATGTACCATATTTGATGCCTTACTTCTCATAGCATCTTTTTTTTAAGCATCTTTTTTAAATCTTGATTTATTCCTTCTCTAATGTTTTTCCCTTTTTTTTAAAAAAAAACACATTTTTATTGATTTCAGAGAGGAAGGCAGAGGGAGAGAGAGATAGAAACATCAATGATGAGAGAGAATCATTGATCGGCTGCCTCCTGCACACCCTACATAGGGGATCAAGTCCACAACCTAGGCATGTGCCTTGACCTGGAATTGAACTGTGACCTCCTGGTTCATAGGTTGATGTTCAACTACTGAGCCATACCGGCTGGGCTTTATTGATTTTTTAGAGGGAGAGAAACATTCATTAGTTGCCTCCCATATATACCCCGACCAGGGATTGAACTCACAACGTAGGTATGTGCCCTGACTGGGAATCGATCCCACAATCTTTTTGGTGTATGGGAAGATGCTCTAACCAACTGAGCCATCCAGCCAGGGCTGTCTAAGAAATTTCTTTATTTCTCCTTCTCTTTTGAGGGATAATTACACTGGATACAGAAGGTTAGTGCCTTCTCCCCCCCCCCCACCCCCCCACCCCCCCAAAAAAACCCCTTTAAATATTTTATGCTATTCTCTTCTTGTTTACATGGTTTCTGAAAAGAAATCCAATGTAATACTATCTTTGTTTCTCTGTAGGTAAGGGATCCCCCCTCCTTGGCTTCTTTTAAGAGTTTCCCTTTATCTTTGATTTTCTGCAGTTTGATATAATATGCCCGGGTGTAAATTTTGATATTTATCTTGTGTTATTTGTTGAGCTCCCTGGATCTGCGGTTTAGTGTCTGTCATTCATTTCAGAAAATTCTCGGCCCTTATTACTTCAAATATTTCTTCTGTTCCTTTCTTTCTTCTTCTGGTATTCCCATTATTTCACCTTTAGTAATTCTCTCATGTTACTAGCCTCCCTCCCTCTACCCCACTGACTTTCGAGTCTTGTGCATGCATGTACTTTCCCCCTGTTTCTGCATATGGAAAGGAAAGTATTTATTTTGTGCCTCTACTCAGTAACCATTTGTTACTATATTAGGGCCTGTGAACCACTTGTATTCACTTTCCTGTAGTCTTTACCTTTTGGTTGGAAGAATTCCTCTCTCTTCACCAAGCTCACCTAAAATCTTCTTGTGCTGAGCGTTTCCAGCACATAACCTCATCCAGAAACCAGATGGTGGTCTCTTGTTTTGTGCAGCAAAAAATGAAATCCAAGTCCACAACTGGTGAGGCCCAACAGGAGCAGCCGGAGCTTAGAGAAGACCAGCAACAGAAAGCAGCTCAAAACCACACACGGGAGCAAAGCAAGGCCCCTCCGGGGCAGAAGGGGAAGGCGGGCTCTGTCTCCTGGGCAGGGTTCCAGACCAAGGCCGAAGTGGAGCAGGTGGAGCTACCTGATGGGAAGAAGAGAAGAAAGGTCCTGGCGTTGCCCTCACACCGAGGACCCAAAGTGAGGTGAGATGCAGGATGACGGCATAGACCGTGATGGCTTCTGAGAGGGTTTGTTTTTGCTTAGCTCTTTTCCTCTTCGTGGCTTTTGTTTGGATGCCAGGGATGCTTAGTGCTGTGCCCGTCCCAAAGCACAAGCAGAGGTGTCAGTCCTGGACCACATGGAAGCCAGAACAGGACCTGCAGAGGGGGCCTCAGAGGAGCCTCGCAGGGCGGGCTTTCACACCGTTTTCCTCCTCTTTTGCAGAGCTTCCTCCTGTCCAGCTGAGGCCCACTGACTTGAGGTTCCCCTGCAGTTTCTGTTTGGGGCCACAGACTAGTGCTATGAACAGAAGTTAATCTTCAAAAAATATTTGTTAAATAAATGAAGTTTTTTTGGGATTCTCTTGAGGTTTTAAACCAAAACAAAAACCAAATGTACAAATGTTGAGCCTTAGGACATTCTGTTGCAATATCCCTTTTTAGAATGATTTGTCATGGGTTAGAAAAAGCCAGTGTAAGAAAGGCATTTTATCTTCCTGGCTGAGGGAACCTCAGGAGTGCCAATTAGAGGAAGAACTCGGGGTGACCCGTGACTGTATTGTTTCAGGTTGCGGGACAAAGGCAAAGTGAAGTCTCTCCCTCCCAAAAAGCCAAAGCCCCAGATAAACCAGTGGAAGCAAGAGAAGCAGAAATCACCTCCCAAGCAGGTGAGTGGGGCACGAGGCTTCGGCATGACATGCTCTGCTGGGCTGGCAGTTGCTTTGTACCTTGATTAATTGGGCAAAAAAAGGGCTTCTAAATTGCAGCCACATTCAGGACTGCAGCTTTTTAGTGGATATTGAGGCACACAGTCCTAAAAGTGGGGAGAATAAGAAAATAAACCCCCACATACCAGTTACTGTGCTTCAACAGTTATCCTGTCTTACCTGCCCTCCATACACGCTCCCTGCCCCCAGTTCATTAAAGCAAACTCTACTTTACTTGTAAATGTGCCTCATGGGGAAATGTATATTGCTCAAAAAAATACTTCAGAATGCATCTCCAACTGATCAGGGGACACACACACACACACGCACACACAGCTATGATCACATCCAATGAGTAACAAGAAGCTCTCAATGTCATCTAATACACAGCCCATATTGAAATGTCCCCAATTGCCTCAAAAATATCTTTTTATAGTTGGTTGGTATGAGTCAGCATTCAAAGTCTACATATTACATTTGGTTTTATATCTCTAAATTCTCCCCCTCCTCCCCCAATAATATCCCGTCTTCCTTGTCAGCCCCTTTTTTCCACGCTCTCAGTTTGTTGGAGAAACCAGGTCATTTGCCTTTTAGAATGTGTTACATTTTAAGTTTAGCTGTTTTGCTTCCTTATGATGTCATTTAAATTGTTTCTATAAAACCCCATATTGTCTGTACACTAGGAGCCATATCTAGAGGTTTGATTAAATTCAAGTTCAGTTTTCTTGGCAGAAGTATTTCTTAGGTAATGCCGTGTGCTTTCTGTTGCATCACATCATAAGGCATCTAATGTCTGGTTGCCTCATTTTTGGTGATGCTCAAACTCATCAGTAGGCTTGGGGATTGTTTACCTTATCCCTCCATTTGTAAAGTCCCCCACCAACCTCTCACCTAATGGTTTTAGCACCATTGAGGATTGCTGTATAAATCCATTATTTCAATTTGGGTTCAGAATGGTGATTTTCTAATTTTATCAATCCTTTGCTTTTTTTTTTTTTTTTTTTTTTTTTTTTTAGTAGAATTCTAGAAAAAAAGAAACTTTTCAACTCTTTGGTTACCATGATATACTATAGGAAAGACAGGATAAATGTTAGATTTTTTTTTTCTCTATCAGTTTTCAGAATAATGAGTTGGTGTCCTATCAGCCTCCTATGGTGACTAGTAAGATTTTATAGTATTATGAATTCCTGAGTCTTTATGTACTTGATATGTTTCCATCAAATGCAGTCATACCTGTTAGGCCAGCAGAAACTTTGCCAGGTTGACCCCTGAGTCCTTGTGAGATAGCCCTGTCTTTGTTATTGTCCTTGCTTTCTAGTACAATCAGACGTCCCAGCTCATCTGACATATTTCTTCCCTGGTCCTGGCATTAGCCATTTTTCCAAAGAGCCCTACTTCCATTTAGGAGAGAATAGTAGTCCTAAGTTTTTGAAATTTGAGGTCAAGCTTTCTTTCTCCTTCCTTACTCCCTTTCTTTTAAGAGTATACGAAGCATTGGTTTCCCATTATCCTCAAAAAGTCTGTGTCTGGAAAGTCTCAACCTCTACATACTGTCTGATGAAGCTCTGTCTCTGAAATCTAGTGTGCAGTGTTCTTGGTGAGGGAGGGGCAAGGACAGCATCCACACCTGGCTGACTCCCCTCTGAGGAGATGCAAGTGAGCCTTTGGAGCGGCCTCCGGAACACCTGAGCAGGGTGTTCTCTTTGCCAGTGGTTCCCAACCTCATTCTGGAGGATGAGGCCCAGAAATCAGGATTTTAAAAAGATTCCGAGGTGATTCTGATGTGCAGCCAAGGTTGAGAACCACTGGCTTATGCATTCCTGGCCTGATTGCTTACCAATGGGTGTTCTTTGAGGCTTTTTCTCTGCAAGGGTCACTCTGGAAGTCCCCTTCTTTTGGTGGACAAGATCTCTACACTTATTTTTTCTCGTGGGTGGCCTTTGGGTAAGCTGATATTTACTGCTTGAAATTGACTATCTTTTGTTTTCTTACCTTTCATTCCTAGGTGCCTAAGAAAAAAGCTAAGGGAAATAAGACAGAAATTCGCTTCAACCAGCTGGTCGAACAATATAAGCAGAAATTATTGGGATCTTCTAAAGGAGTGCCTCTCGCAAAGAGAAGCAAGTGGTTTGACAGTTGATGCCAGCGGGCTGGATAGAGGCTGGATTGTGCGTTTCTTGGTGAGGCTCCCAGGCTCTTCCCCACCCCAGTGCTGTTTCCTAAGGGGAAGAACCCCCCACACACTGCCACTTTGTTGGGGGGGCTTCCTGGGCTGTGCTCATCTGGACTTTGTGTGGTTGTTAACCATAAAGAGAAATATCAGAGAAACATTGTGATGCTTCTTGCACATTAATTATCCAGATTATTATGTGAAGTTGTGTTTATAATTATTATCCATTTTAACTCTGTTTCTCAAATGGAAACAATTGTAAAATGCATTCTTAAGTGCTGAATTTTTAAGGTGTATATTTTAAGTGTCTTCTCTAGATAAGATATTTTGTGGCTTTTTGAATAACAGACTCTTATTTCTGATATATGTGAATCCTTTATTATTTATGAACATTTTTAAAATCCCTCACTCTAATTCACTTAGAGTCCTACATACTGCAGGAATTGATTACAACAGAGCAGAGAAAAATGATTTCCAACCTAATCTCTGAGGAGGGGAGAAACTTGGAAAGTAATTGAGGGCAATGGGTCTGGCAGAGAGCAACATGTGATAATTATTTGCCAGATGAGTGGGTTATTGCTGGTAGTCGACAAAAAATCAGTTTGCAGTGGTCCACAGACACTGGCCTGGCTGGTGATAACCTGCATCTTCTATCATCACACGCCTCCGCCTGAGGACTTGAGAGGTAAGGGGTGGCAGACAGAGCAGTGAGCTCGAGGCCTAGCCTCTAGCCTGACCGGCCTTTACCTAATGGATGGCCTTAAACCAGACAGACTCTCTGAGTCTTAGTTTCTTCATCTATCGAATGAGGAGTTCAACTAAAGGTTTTGTGTGATCCTTCCCAGCTCTAAACTCTTTTTCTAATTCATTCTTATGCATGTTCATAGTCTTTCTCAATTTAACCTCAGTAAAGATAGAGATGACTTCCAATACTTTTCAGAATTTATGGTGCCACAAAAGCTGGGAGGGATAGTGAATATTAGAGGGTTGAGGTCCAAAAGGGTCATAATAACCTGAAGAGATGAACTGAATCTGATAGGATGGAAATCACAGGGAACATCATAAATTCTCTCTCTTACTGCACACGTTCTGGTAGGAGAGTGTGAGGCATTTGATTTTGCACTGGAGAAACAATGTGGCTACCACAATGTAACAGGACTGTTGTTAGGCTGTATTAGTGGAAATGGGATGTCTCCGGTGAGTTGCTAGTTCTCAGACCAGACCACACCTGTAAGACATGTAATGAAGTTAGCCAAGGAATTAAACATGTCAGATGGAAACTAAATTGATCATGAGTTGGTTGTTATTGAAGTTGGTCATGGGTAAATAAAGATTTGTTTTTCTATTCTCTCTGTTTTTGTGAACATTTGAAGCTTTCTGTAATAAAAAGTTAAAAGTCAGATTTGTAACTGGTACTGACCTCTTTGAGAATTCTTGCAGTGTATTAGCTGTTGGTAGAGCCTGGGAGGGTGTAAGTGGCAGATGAGTAAAAGTCACAAGGAATCAGATTTGGATTCAGTATCAGGAAGAACTGTAATGCAGGTGGGGCCTGCAATGGGGCATGAGTCCCCGCTCTGGAACAGCTAAGTGTGGGCGTAGTAAGTCTATGATGTTGTCCAGGGGATTCCAGTACCAGGCGACTGGGCTAAAGGAGGTGGTAAGTATCAGTCAGCTCATTATTGTTTGGCCCCAGATATGTCTCACCCCAATCCCTGAGGCCCCTTTCAAGAGAAAACCTGATCATTCTCTATGTCAGCGGTCGCCAACCTCTCAGACCTCACGGACCACCAGTGGGTGACTGCTGCTCTATGTAGTTTCCTTCATATAATTGGTCTTCATTAAGTCTGTGCCATGGTTGAGACGGCTTAGCTTCTGTTTAAACCCTCCAGTGGTTTTCATCTCACTTTTTAAAAAATTGAGGTGTAATTGACATACATTATTACATCCCCACTAATTTCTTTTATAACTGGAAGTTTGTATCTTTTTATTCACTTCACACCTTTCATGCATCACCCTCCCCCCACAACTACTAATCTGTTCTCTATACCTATGAACTTGGGTTTTCTTGTTTATTTCTTTAAGATTCTACATATAAGTGAGATCATATTGTATTTGTTTTTCTCTGACTTATTTGACTTAGCAAGGTCCATCCATGTTGTCACAGATAGCAACATTTCATTCTTTTTCATGGATGAATATATACTAGAGGCCTGATGCACGAAATTCATGCAAGACTAGGCCTTCCTTCCCTTGGCTGCTGGCACTGGCTTCCCTCTGGCACCTGGGACCCGGGCTTCATCTGGAAGGTCATCCAGAAGGACGTCTGGTCTAATTAGCATATTACCTTTTATTATTATAGTTACACATCATATTTTCTTTATCCATTCATTTATTCTTGTGATTGAAATTTCAATTTTCCCCCAAAGCATGCAATGCCCTAGGTTCTCTAGCCTCTGTCCCCTCCCCTACCTCATTTTTATCCACTCTTGACCTTATATTCATTTTTGGCCACACAGGCCTGCCTTCAGTTCATGCGACCTTTTTCCACCTCAGAGCCATTATTTTCTTGGCCGGGGGAAATTTTCCTTTTTCATTTTTTTAAAAATTTTATTTTATTGTTTAAAGTATTACAAATAGTAATACATAAAATTGTGAGAGGAACTTGATCTCTCTTGTTCAGTCATGTAGACAGCACCTAGAATTGAGCCTGGCACATAGAAGGTATTGAGTAAACATTTTTTTTGAATGAAAAAATAAGGGGGGCAAAGGCAGAAACAGTACTCAGTAGGCCAGAGAAAGGGTTAAATATAGCCCAAAGTTCTTCATTCCTTGGTCCAGCCTGTGCTGTAATAAATGCTGCTTTCTTCAGAACTATTGCTGACCCAGGGATATGGCTCTTTCACTGCACTGCCTTGGGAAATGAATGAATGCTCCACAATGCCCTTAATTGGTTTAAAGATGGATTCAACAGAGAACTAGACAGGGGCTTTATCTCCAGTCACCTTGAGACAGTGTGACCTGGGAGTTTGGACTGTTCCTGCAATAACTTGACAATACATCGTTCCCAAGTCTGTCCACTGTGGAGGGAGTACGCTGCTTTGTTAAGGCTACACACGGAATTTTCACAGCCTGCCTGCCAGCTGACCTGTTTTCCCTTGGCCAACTCTGCCTGCTCACCAGACACTTTTCCCCTAACATACAGATATCTATGGATCAACATTCAAAAACACATCTTAACATGCAGGATAGGTGAAAATCAGTGTTCGTGCAGATAACTTCACCAGGTTTTCTTAGATTTAGATATTTCTTCTGTCAGCTTTAGCAACCCAGGATGCTTGACACATTCAACTGCCTGGAAAGGGATTGCACAGTTCTTCTAAAATAATGACAGGACAGGCCTGGCCAGGTGGTGCGGTTGATTGGAGGTCGTTCTGTATACCAAGAGGTTGTGGGTTCGATTCCTGGTCAGAGCACGTACGATACAGGAGGAACCGATGGATGTTTTTCTCTCTTTTCTCCCCTTTCCTCTCTAAAATCAATAAAAACATATGCTCAGGTGAGGATTTAAAAAAAAAGTGATAGGACAAATTATCCACCTGATCCTCAACAAACCAGGTTCCTTGTGTGGTATCCTCCTTTGGCACACCTGACTGTGTTATCTGGGCAGCTCCATTTACCTTGCCGGGAACACTAATGCAACGAGAGCTTTGCTTGCTTACTTGCTTTAGAGCCATAAGTTTCATAAAATGGAGTTTTCTGAATTAAACATGAAGGTGGAGGTCCAGACTGGTTAAAAAACACCAATAACTAACATTTTTGTTAGCATCCGAGACTGAAGGCCTTCAGAAAAAACTGTCAAGTTTCAGTAGTATTTTCCTGTTTGGTTACTCAGTAGCCTGGCTCAGGCATATTTTCTTTAAATAAAGAATCTTAAGGTTTGTGTGCTGGTTGTTGCTTTGCGGGGTGTTTTGTTTTTGTGTTTTTTGGCTACTAGGTCGTTTTGAAGAACTCCCTGCTCTGATTCAGGATGTACAGTTCCTTCCTTAGAGTTAGCCTGCAGCTATTCTTCAACTGTCTTCAAAGGCCAGCAGCTTCTTTGGTATTTTTTTTTTTTTTTTTTGCCTTGAAAAGAGGTTTTCCAACTAAAAATTCAGAGCGCAGAACCTCAAGGCTCCAGTGACCCCCTTCTCACCATGTATTTGGCCTTCAGTCATCTGAGGAAGTAGGGGTCAAGTACGCCACATTGAGAGCTGACCGCCCAGGACCTTATCCCTCCGGCCGACCCAAGTCCCAGTTCTCTGCGTAGCACCCCTGCGACTCACTTTTTGTGAAGCAACTGACAGGCATCGGCCGATTTTATCATGTAAATAGAAACTCTGCCCATGTACCTTGGAAGGTTCCTGAATGTCTCCATAGGCTGCTCATGGCAGTAGCCGCATCATTCGACTGAGGATGCCCACGGTAAGTTTGTATTTCAGTTCGTCTCAGGCGATGTCGGCTCCTGCTTTCTCCCCCTCAGCTCTAACTGGCGCTTTAAGGACCAGGATTAGGTTGCTTTGTTTCCCTCAGGCCAAGCAAAGACTTCCTTTTGCCCTAGGACCTAGGGCCTAGGTTGACCAACTGAGAAGTTACCCACCCGTGTTGCTTTGTTTTGCTGCTTTTGCCCCGTCCACTTCCTTTCCAGAATTAATTGCAGAGTTAATTACGTCAGTGGCCCAGCCACAGGTGATAGGTACATCTGCAATTACTTTGGCTTCTGATTCTGAACGTGTGTTTGGCTACGGACAAGCCTCTGTGCTGGTGGAGGAATATACTGGGGAGAATGTGAAAGACGGGGCTGACAGCCTGGAAACCAATTCTGAGAAGAAAACTGCAGAGTCACTGAAACGTCTTGGACCACCTCCAAGTGGAGCATCTTGATAGATGGTGAATCCAGATTTCTTGGACTGGTCCATGCTGCCCAGAGCCGCTGCCTTTTGTCAGACTGAAGAGTCACCTGGAATCTCCCTCACTGGCCACTGGACAGAGGAAACTCCGCTCTGTCCTTGAGGGCAGCGACTATATTTTATATTTTTCAACACACCTTGCAATACTTTGCAATGATTTACACATAGTAGGAGATCATTTAATTCCATTGAACTCACTGAAGGCCACCTGTCCCAAGACGGAGCTGGGCTTGTGAAGGACAACAGTCATTTCCTGAGGTAATGTATGTGGAAAGGGCCGCAAAATACAAAGTGATAGAAAAAAACCTGCTGGTCATGGTCCCTTGAACACACCACCTGTGCTCTTTCTGCACTGCCTGTCTGTATGGATGTGTCTATCTCCACTCAAGTGCCATCCAGCATTCAAGTTCAGGCTCAAGGCCATTTCTCCATCGGGACCCTAATCATCCCAGGGCCATGAGATCCCTCTCTCGGTCCCTGACACACATTCTGGTTGGTATCCACTCAATTGATAGATAATGTGACTTTTCATCTCTTTAGTAGATTTGTCTCCCCAAGTAGACTGTGAGCCCCCTGATGGCATTTTTCCCCGTAATGCCAGTCCCAGGCCTGGCACATGGCCATCCTAGTCATTGTTTACGGAGGAGGAGGAGGAGGAGGAGGAGGAGGAGGAGGAGGAGCTGCAGCGATCTCTCCCAACCTGTCATTTGATGTATTTTCACTTGCTCTTCTTTCTTACTCAGCCTCATTCCTCATAGTAGGAGCTCAATGTCGGTTCCCCTCACTCTCCTTTTCATCTTCCCTGCACTGTCTGGGCCTCAGTCCACCAGCAACTTCCCTCCGATGTTGCTTAATCCTTCTTGTGGCCAGAGTCCATCCCATCCTGGCCAGCCCTGCCGCCCGAGGGACTCTGGGCGAAACCCAGCTGCACCTGAAGGCTGTGTGTGCAAAAAGCCTTCTTGTCAGAGGCTGATCCTCGAGTATCCCCTTCTCACGCTCAGCCTCCCTTCATTTGTCCTTCCCTTTCCTCTCTCCTGGGTTTGGCCTCTCTCCATTTGTCCTTCCCGTTCCTCTCTCCTGGGTTTGGCCTCTCTCCATTTATCCTTCCCTATCCTCTCTCCTGGGTTTGGCCTCTCTCCATTTGTCCTTCCCGTTCCTCTCTCCTGGGTTTGGCCTCTCTCCATTTGTCCTTCCCTCTCCTCTCTCCTGGGTTTGGCCTCTCTCCATTTGTCCTTCCCGCTCCTCTCTCCTGGGTTTGGCCTCTCTCCATTTGTCCTTCCCTCTCCTCTCTCCTGGGTTTGGCGTCTCTCCATTTGTCCTTCCCTCTCCTCTCTCCTGGGTTTGGCCTCTCTCCATTTGTCCTTCCCTCTCCTCTCTCCTGGGTTTGGCCTCTCTCCATTTGTCCTTCCCTTTCCTCTCTCCTGGGTTTGGCCTCTCTCCATTTGTCCTTCCCG